TAATGGATGGATGGATGATGGATGGATGGATGATGGATGATGGATGGATGGATGATGGATAGATGGATGGATGGATGATGGATGGATGGATGGATGGATGATGGATAGATGGATGGATGGATGGATGGATGATGGATGATGGATGGATGGATGGATGGGTGGATAGATATGCTTTATTATTACTTTAAAAAAAACTGCAAAAGAAAAACAATTAAGACAAAGTTCAAGCTACAAGGGACTGGCTACATCAGAATTTCTCCACATTCTCATAAAAATAAATATTCCCTGGACCCACTCCAGACCTCCCAAAGGAGCTTTTCCATATATCAGATAAGAAAATGCTATTTCAAAACAAATCCCAGATGCGTGAAATGTATAGACTCTAAAGTTTGGACACCTGAAGTTGGCCCAGCACACATATTACACCTATTACAGTTTGTGATTATTCACTTTGTTGTTGTTGTTATGTGCCATCGAGTCACTTTAGATTATTTAATTAATATTTTTCTTTCTATTAGAGAGTTCTTTGACTGTAGGGATCACAGATTTTTTTACTACCATATAATGCTCTTTACATAGGGATAGGGCTAGAACATGATAAGCACTGAGTAAATTACTTGTTAAATGAATAAATGGATTTCGGGAGTCATCAAATGATCTATGTCCTACTCTACTCTGAGATCTTATGATAATAGAAATAGCCAATAGCCATTTGTCCATGAGTGTATAAAGTGGACATGTATCCATTATTTTCACATGTACCAACAAGACCTTGAGTTACCTTCTCATACCCTACCTCACTGTGTGCTCAGAAAGAAAAATTCTTTTCAATAATGATGAGCCAGAAACTTGTCCAAGCAAAGAGACTTCCATCTACAGAAACATCTTGTTTTTGCTAGAGTGAGTCTGGTATCAGCCCACTTAACCTTGTGCTTATGTATTCATCATATTAACTTCAGCATGTCTCTGACAACACATGCTATTCTGTATTGGACTTTACCAGCTCATTGCTCCAAAAGAGAGAATTTTCTGTAGTTTTCAGACCTCACTTCTGTCTGGCCCAAGTCAACGGAGTACTGAACCACTGAGTACTGGATCCATCCAGTTTGCAGGGTGTTCTGGAAGGATTTTGAGGATAATTTTCAACCTCCTCATCCTGTGGTTAATGAGTGTCCGTCCTTCTGATGGACAGGATGAAGGCCATCAGCCTTTAGCCATGACATTCTTCAATAATGTTCTTAGTTAAACAACAGTTGTGTGAATCATGATAGTAACATGGATACTAGCTTTCAAGCCAGTTTGTAAATCTTTTATTCTTGAAGATTATTAAAAACAGGAACAGAAAATGTTATAACTAATGGCAAAACTTTTGCTTCATACTTCCTCTCTAGTTTTGAGTCCTCAACGAGCATCTATCTGATCTTGGGGTCTACCTACAAACATAGGTTATATTCCCATAAAACACCTACGAGATATTTTAGTCAAGCACTCATTTGAAATAATTCAAGATTAAGAAATTGAATGTGTTAACTGTGGTAATTATTTAGCATCAGGATAAATTTTGGAATTATAAGGTATGAAAAGAAGAAATCTTGTTTTCACCTCATTACTTTCTGTATAATGTTATAAATTCATTGACCTCCTTTGAATCAGTTTCCTTTTCCATAAATTTGGGTATAGAGCCAAAAGTCAAGCTTTAAAACTGGATGGATAGTGGGAGAGTTGGGAAATCTCAAAAGGGACCTAAAGTAGAATAACTGATGATCAGTATAGTGTTTTTAAAAAATGTGCTCCAGAAAATTAATTTTGAATTTGTTTGCTGAGCTCATTATGTTATTTGCAATTTCAGGAGGAAGAGCACAGTCCCTTTGAATACCTGAGCTTTACTGTGTTCTGGCTGGTTCTGGCAGCCAGTTGTCCTCCGTACATTGCCATGAGCAGCATTGATGATTATAAGGTAATAATTAATAATTGAAACTTCCATTGTTTCATATACTTAGAAGCTGATGGCAATGTAATTACAGTATTTTTCCACAGGATCCTTATACATGCTTACATATGGAACAGCCAATTCATAAATAAAATCCAAGCTCTAAAAACAAAAGGAAATATCATACACACACACACACACACACACACACATTTAAAGGGAATGTATATATATAAAGAAGAAAAAAAAAAAAAAGCCAAACTCATTCCCATCAAGTTGTTTTTCCAAGTCATAGCAACCCCTCCTTGGTTTTCCGAGGTGGTGTCTCTAAGGAAGTAGATGCCCAATCTTCCTCCTGAGGAGTGGCTGGCATTTCCACCAGCCTCCTGGTTAGCAGTCAAGTGCCTTAGGTACTATGCCACCAGAGCTCCTAAAGGGAATATGCATATTTATAAAATAAAGGAAATAACATATTTTTATGCAGATAACACACCCTGTCTATGCATGCTTACCAGTTGCTCCCTCCCCACCAGAAGGTATTTTGTGAAGGCACTATGCTTTTATACACACACACACAGATTTATAGATAGATAGAAAGGAATTTGACTTTGCCATGTTGGAGAAATTAGAGCCTGACTTGGTCTCTCACGGTGAATAACTAGGAAAATGGACAGAATATTGGATTTTTGACAATGGGCAGTAGAGGACTATGATCACTTACAAGATGGAAGGAAATCATGTGAACCCTATGATATCTGTCTTTCTGGAGCCATGTTCTGGACCATAGTGCAAAGAGGAGAAATCCAAGGAAAACACTTAAATTTTCCTGAAATGAGAATACGGAGTTCAGGATTGGAGAAGACTGAGGTGGCGGTGGCTAAAATTTACATGACAGAATATCAGATACATGGGGTCAGTGCTCTCAAAATCTGTCTTGGAGTCTCACAGGTCTGATGGTGAACACTAAGCTGAGTATTTACAGGGTGAAGGCAGCCAAAGAACAGGTAGGAAGCTGTGAGAGGAACGATTTCCAGATCTCCACAGGACGGGACTGTTCTATGAGAAGTGGGGAGAGTTCTCCGCAGATACCGTGTATCTGGTGGTGGTGTTATTGCTGCTTGCCTGCAGGTACTTCTGACTCATCGCCTCCCTATGGCACGGGGTCGGACTGCCCCATAGGGTTTTCAAGGCTGTAATCTTTACAGAAGCAGGCGCCAGGTCTTTCTCCCTCAGCCACCGGTAGGCTGGAACTTCGGACCTTTTGGTTAGCAGCTGAGCTCCTTACCACTGGGCCAGCAGGACTCCTACTTGGTAGACACCCCAAAAGGTTCCCACTGTAGTTGTAGGGCAGTCCTCAATATAAAGTCAATGCAGACTCATTCTGATGGGAAGTCAGGTCCTTGGATATACTCTGCCCTCATCCCCCTGTGAGTCATTATGTCACTGTTTTGTTTACTTCAGTGTTCAGAGCTTGATTACTCTCAGGTCTTTGTTCACATATCTGTACCAGATCTGTGAGGAGCATCAGTGTCATTAATTAAAGCATCCAACTGATTATTTATGTTTGGAACTGCCCGTATCCCTTAATCCAGGTGACATTGGTAGGTATGGTACAGATGATTACATATGAAGGTTTTATTTGAGTGTTTTCTTACCAATCGACAATTTCTTAAACTTTAACTGAAATACCACTTGGTGTCTTTTCTGTGTCCTAATCAGAACAAAGCCCGGTCTCAGCTGCGGATATCGGGGCTCTTCCCGTCTGCTTACTGGTTTGGGCAGGCGTTGGTGGATGTCCCATTGTACTGCCTACTCTTCCTTTTCATGTATTCAGTGGACTACATTTTAAACTCCCAAGTGGCAATACATAAAATTTTACGTCAGACTATACAAGTAAGTGACAATAGCCAAAGAGCAAATATCATTGTATGATTTAACTAGAGAATTTGACAATACCAGCACTTTTAATGGACCTTTACATTGTCATAAATTAAAACTGTAAAATCCTGTGCAGTGAAAATGTTTTGGATTCCAAATGTTTTCCTGGATTGCATTGGTCTTAAACTTAACCTTCCTGTTGCTTTCAGATGCCGTGTGCTATTGGTTATGCCATGTCACTTATCTTTCTGACATATATAATTGCATTCATTTCTCGAAATGGGAGGAAAAACAGTGGGATTTGGTCCTTTTCCTTCCATATTGTAAGTATGCTTCTTGTGAATCTTCATTTTATACATTTAATATACAATCGAGCTACTTCTTTATATTTTACCCCACGTAGAATGATAAATTAGGGTGAGAGTCTAAGATATTTTAAGTTGGCATTATATATGGATCCCTTTAAAAATCTGCATCTTTTCCTCTTCCTATTTGCATTTACTCATTCTTTAAAACTGGCCAAATTGCCCTTAGGACCATAAATACTGATCTAGAAGGAAACCTGGGGACCAAATGTATCTTTAATGAAAAAGAAAAAAGCCTAAAGCCCAAAATATACACATGATTACAGATTCTGTTAGCAGCAAAGTTAAAACTAGAAACTAGTTCTCCAAACTCCCTACTGAGAATTCATTCCAGACAGCCACACCTCTTTTGTCTAAAATTGAGAGGAAAATATGCATAATTCATGAGTGTCTGTTCTAATTCCCTGTGATTTCAGGATGCCAAAAGTAAATTATTAATTTAACGAACACGTGTTGGCATCCACAATGGGATGCAGAGTAAGAATGATAATGGAGAAAAGATTACATAGACAGTGTCGGCCTGGAAAAGCTCTCAGAAAGTAAACTGATAAGTAAACACATTTACTTTAACAGGCTGATAAGGAAAAGATGTTCATTGAGGTATCTCCTACCTTTACATTGAGGTATCTTCTGTTTAGAAACTGAGTACAATTTAGTAAAAAAGAGGGAAAACCAGAGAAAGGAGAGGTTCGTTTCTGAAAATGAGACCAGACGAGATTTTCTTTAGGGGTTAAACCAGAAGATGAGTGCATTTTCAATAGTTGGAGAAGATTGAGGTGTGAATAGGAAATAATGGATGAACCAAACCCAGGAGGGGAGGAAGTCCCAGTCTTCAGAACTGGTGATAATCTAGTGTGTGGGTTAGGCTAGAACACAAGATGCAGGATGGGTATGGTCCTAGTCATGGACAGGGAAAATAAAGCTTGGAACCAGGAATGCCCTTAAATCACGTGCTCAAGGATTTATTCTACAGGCTGTGGGATATCATGCAAGCCTTCAGTGTGCAAGATAAGTATGATCAGAGATAGACTCTGTTCTGGTTACCTATTACCTCTCTGACAAGAATATACCACAAATGGGATGGCTTAAACAAACAGGAGTTTATTCTTACAATTTGGAGGCTTTAAGTCCAAGCTGGGTGAAGCCCCTCAACCGTGGGGTCCAGCTCTGCCTCCTGCGCCCAACCCACTGGAGTTAGAGGCATTTCTTCACTAGGTGCAGGCTGCTGAGGCTGAGAAGCCCCGAGGTTAACAAGTAAAAAGGCACAGTCCCGATGTTACCAAACCACACGGCAGGCCATTAACTTAAGTCCATTGTATGTCCCAAGGTCTGCAGAACATAGAAGGCTGCTGAGCAATGACATGGCTACACGCAGGGTCCAAGCGTGCCATAGGCTAGAGACCATTCTCAAAGCTTCTCCTTATATACAGGAAGCAGACCACATTCCAAAGGCAGCTACTCAGCTGCTTGTGGTAGGTCCCACCATGGAGGTGATTGCCAGTCTCATCATGGGGAATAACTACCACCAGCTGCCCAGCCACTCAACCAGGCCCAGCCAAGTTGACACACAAACATAACTACCACAGACTCTAATAGCTATGAAAATGATAATTTGAAATACAGAGAAATAAGTATAAAAACTTGGAATCTTTGCAGTGGTCTAGAAGGGAAAGTATGAGTGCTTTAGGTATGCTTTTACTTTCTCTTACCCTTGAATTTTGTATTTTAGTACTTCCACCTAAGCCATTCCAAGTTGTTAAAGGCTTGCTGTCCTCTATTGGTACAGTTAACCAAAGGCTCCTTTCATTTCTTCCTCTTTTTCTGTTTCAGATCAATTTTAATTTTTCCTCTGGTTATTGTTTACCTACCATTCTGAACTTTAGCTCCAAAGACAATATTACACTAACTTTTATTCCACTTCTATAATTAAAATACTCTATATATCAGATCCTAGGTATGTCCAGGGATGTCTCCTTTGTGACCAAAGGAATTTGGCTAAGCCACTAAGAAAAAATGTTAATGGAGATGTTGATTTCAGCTTGGTTTATGAGGCTGGAGTTGAAATTAGGAGTATCTCCAAGATAAGCCATCTCAATTTGGGGAATATATGGAAATTCAGAGTGATTATCATGCATATTTGTGTTTTCTTTAGATCATCATGTTCTCTGTGATTGTATTTCTGTTAGGAAGTAATGGAAGTAATGAGATATTATTGTGCATCACCTTTTTCATCCCACCTGCCACACTGATTGGCTGTATGTTCTTAGCTTTACAAGTAAGTAATGCCACCTCTGTCCCTGTGTCCTGAAATTTATAACCAATTGTGTAAGCTTTGCTTAGTATGGGACTCTACAACATGCTAAACATGCACACCACTGGAAGGTTTCCCCAGATGTGCTCCAGTTGACCTGTAATCAGAAGTCCGGCCCTTGTTAATATGTGTGAGAGAAAGGGCAATGGGTGCTGGGAAACAGAACAGTGTTTACACTCATTCTGGGACTTTACACACTCCTGGGCATTTCTCAGTTTTATTCAGCAGGAGACAAAAGAAATGCCCCTATCTTTGTAATTTAAGGGTTCTAGAAAAGCACCTCAGATGAATAAAGACCATTTTCTTCTAGCTGATTGATAACTGTATTTCTACAAAAGGAAAGAAGATACAATATACGTACACTGTCTGTAATTTTCATCATAGGGAGTGAGAAGTGTTCTGGGTAATGGACCCCTTGGAGATTTTGGTGACAACTATGGACCATCTCTCTCCTTAGAAAAGTACTTATCAGAGCTATCTTTTCTTGTACCTCAGGCTAAGAGCACCTCTGTCTATTGGGAAGGGAAAGTAAGGGAGATGACACCACAAAGGGAACAATATGTACAAAAAAATGTGTGAAGTTCTATGTACAGAGGATAAGCCCCATCTCCCTCACTGTCAGGGGTTGTGCCAACTAGATGCCTTGGAGTCTCTCACCAGGCTCTCATTGGCTAAGTTCTGTTGCTTCAAATAAAAGCATAGTGGCTTGTAGACATAGGGAGTGCAAAGACACACCCTCATTCCACACTTTGGAACTGATACATATCAGAGATGCGTGGTAGAAGCAGGGATGATGTCAGAAGGGCTGTTCAATGGACCAAATCACATTTATTTGGATAAAATTAATGAAACAGAAAACTTTACATTAACCATTACAATTAACCATTGTCTTTCCTTTTGCAGATTTTCACATCTTCTGCACTTAATGGAAATTCAAGTGGCGTAGAGGCATTCCTGGTATTCCTAATTGTAAGCATACACTCTCATTTAAAAATTACTATGTATTTCACTGTAACACACTTGAAGCTTTTATTAAGATGGGGGTATAGATATCTGTAGCTCACAGACATATCATGGAACAAATTTTTTATAAAGATTCACTGACTAGATAATACGTTTCCCAAATTTTATGAATACCATACTACCATTAGACAAAATGACATAAAGTAAAACTATTACATAATTATATTTGTTTCTAGCATTTCTATAAACAATTTTGAAAATGGATTTGATAATTTCATAATTTACCAAATAGATTCTTAGGCATTTTGTAATGATTTTGCCAAATGTTTCTGTGTAGAAGATCAAGTATTCCTAATTCACCTATAATGTTGAATCAGTGATTTTTCGTGTTTCTAAGTGTGATTCTCTCTTTATCCCTAGCCTGTCCTTCATTTTATTATCTTCCTTTTTATTCTGCGATGTCTGGAATGGAAGTTTGGAAAGAAAACAATGAGAAAGGATCCCGTCTTTAGGTTGGGAGAAATCAAATTGGATTCTGTCTTTTATTTCATTGTTCAATATTCAAAAATATTTCTTCATGCAGAAACCAATCTATTTACATACTGGGACAGGCTAAAAGAATAACCACTGTACTCATGCAGGTAGCAGAGATCTAGGTACCAAACCAAGGTTCCAATCTAGTGGAGGAACTAACAAAACCAGTTAATTAGGGCTCCATTGACAGTGTGTGTGCAGTGAGCACTAGGAAAGCCCCATGAGACAGGCTCAGTTTAAACAGCAATCAATTTTAATAGACTGGCAGTTGGTGGAATACTGCCAATCCAGGAAGGAGGGATACAGTGAGCAGCAGGCCAAAACCAAAAATAAGTGTGCTCTTTTCCTGAGGGAATGAGAAGTGCGGTTGGTAGATCATGGACTTGCCTTGGTATCGAAGCCAAAAAACAAACCCATTGCCATCAAGTCGATCCTGACTCATGGTCACCTCGTGTGTTTTGAACAGAACCGCTCTATAGGCTCTTCTTGATTATAATCTTCATGAAGCAGATTGCCAGGCCTTTCTGTTACAGTGCCACTGGGTGGGTTTGAACTGCCAACCTTCAGATTAGTAGTCCAGGGTGCATTGTGCCACCTAGGTACCTTGGCCCTGGTATTAAGGGGTCTTAAAAGCAGAGACTTTTTTTTTTTTTTTCCCCTGCACCATAAAAGAATGTGACCAGCAAGATCTGATCCTGTCTCTGTCTCCTGTACCATGCTAGTTTTATGACTGACTGGAGCTCTGGTAGCATAGTGCCTAAGGCACTTGACTGCTAACCAGAAGGCTGGCGGTTCAAACCCACCAGCCACTCCTCAGAAGGAAGGTTGGGCAA